AGCCCTACCCTGTTGGAGGCGGCTGCTGGATAGCATATCTGTCTCCTGAGCAAGCACTATTCTGTTTGGTCTGGCTATCACCTATATGGTGCTCAAGACTCTTGTCAATGACACGTGCATTTGACTCCTTGCCATGATGAATATCGTTGGCTTGTGCTGACGTTTGTCAGATAAGTGACACTGGTAACAACAGCGACCAGTCAATTAAATTATATTACTGGGAACTAGCCCTAAGACGAATCACCATTTAATGATATTAATGACGAATTGCAGTTAATGAATGAATTTCATCTTTTTTGTAACTGAGTTGACGGCGCTTTCAATCTTTTCTTGGAATGCAGCAAAGGCAGTCACGAGCTGTCTTAATTGTTCTTCAATCGCTCTTGCCACTGGCATTCACTTTCAAATCTCTCTCCTGACACCAGTTGTTGCATTTTTCTTACGGTACGGGTTCGTGGATTTGAAGTGAAAAACGAGAGCAGTACTTGATGAAGTATTGAAACACAATAGTATTATTCAAGACAGCTCCGAAAGCACGTTTACAGTCATCGAAGAACTACTATAAACACTCTGAAACAATCAGCGACTCAGCTACCAAGCTATAACGGCGAAGACAGCTTCTCGGCAAAGCACCCATTCAACTGCTTGAAACTGAACCTTGAGAGGGTTTTCTCATTTACACTGTCTCTTTATTACAACAGTATTTTAGCACTTGAAAAAATATTGCTCCAATTCATTATTTCAACGGCGAATATGTATGGTTTTTAATTTACTTCAATTATCTTTCAAATTTATGTTTCAGAAATTCTGAAATTATTATGAGATAATCGTAAAATATCGAAACAAATTTCCCGTTAAAAAGGTTATACGTTTTTCCATTTTATCACATCCTCATGGTACATACTTTAATGCTAATAAATGTTTATTTTTTATTATAATATTTAAAATTTTTATGTAATTTCATATACGATGTATAATTCATAAATTACATACAAATTCGGACTACACATTAATTTGACAGCTCTCAACAATGATAGATTTCGTTGCTTATTTGTAACGGAGAAACTTTAGTCTTGGTTATAAATAATTAATTTCTGAAGAATATGAGAAAATAAATCTGTTTTTATTATGTGTATGTAACTTCTAAATATTATAATTGGAGAATGAACAATTATGCAAGTGATAGTTCGTGATTAATATGAGGTTGTAATTTTTTTTTTTTTTTTTTTTGTGTGTGTGTGTGTGTGTGTGATATATTGAGCTCCAAAGTTTTTTAACTGAAGAAGGAAGAATTATAGATCTTAAGAATAATAAATGAATTTAACGAATAAAAAGGAATTTTTAAAATATCATTCTACTTGCTTTCACTCGACTATTACTGGTTGCCAATGATAAGTCTCTGAAACTGTGTCAAGGCTTTGAAGCTTCTTAATATCATTTAAATTCATTAGTTCCAACTTATATGATATTTAAATATTTTTCCTACGAAAGCTTAAAAGACACATTTTGGAAAACGTTTTTAGGAAGCAAAAAAAGGGGGGAGGGTTAGCTTGGAAACTTTATTTATTTTTCAAAAATTTAACATAATTTATTATTAGTTAATGAACTTAAAAGAATTTCATTATTATTAGATTGCGCTTTTCGGTGATCAAATTATTACTTAGGAAATACGTAGTGGCGCCATCTGTATTCATGGTGAATAAGGAATTGTACTTACATTTACCTCAAGTGGAAATCTTATTGATAATTTTGACTGTTGTTATTACTGTGTCAATTGTATTAAAACAATAATGCTTTTTAGAAAAAGTAGAAAACAGATTATTAGCTCCTACAAATCAAAGGAAGTGGACAACAATTAATTTTTTTGTATAAGGAGACGAAATTATGTAACACGAAACGTTTTTATTAAACTCAAAACATTGTGTTAATAAAAAAAATCTGTAAATATTTTAAATGAAAGATTACTCTTCTGTAAATAATTCGTATTGAGTTTTAACAAGTCTTAATGGTTATTTTGTGTTACTAAGCATGAAGTCTGAGATTTCTTTATTAAGACAAACGCGCTTCTTTTTTATGCCTAAACAAAGTTTTGCATGTACAAAGTGTTAGGAAACGATAGCTGAAGGTTTTATTTCCTTAAATATTGATTCTAGGAATTTATGCTTGCAATTATGAAGTTTCTGAAAGCATAGCATGAAATGCTATGCAGGTAGTTTTTAGATTAATGCCGGAATAGGATTTTAATTTGAAATCTTAGCGAACTTTCATTTAAAGATACAGGATGGTTTGTATTTAACTTGCTGAACACAATTAAACATTTAATTCCTTAAACCCTTTTGTTATTTTCAGACTATATCAAAAGCTAGATTACCATTTATAGAAACATCCTGCTCTGTAGACATTCAATTCTCAAAATTCTGTACCTTATTTTAAGAAACTTTGTGACTGCGAGCAAACATTTACGATAAAAATTTAAGGAAATAAGGTCTGAAAAGGTTGCATTTAAGAATAAGATCACCTTTTTATAATAAATAGCGCTCATTTTGTTCTGTATAATATACGATAACATAAAGACGTTTTATTTATACCTGCGTTTCTTAAACCGCGGTCCAAGGTTCAGAATCGGTCTTCTAAATTCCCGGACCGCAAGGTCCAGTCCAAAAAAAACGGTCAAAAAGTGAGCCTCGAAGCCTATCTTTGTGATTCTTATTAGGTTTTCAAATATATCATATTATTTATAAATGAAATCAAGAGTAATTAACATCATTTTTATTGATGACATGCGGTTAAGTGGTACTTAAGAGATATTTATTGTTGCACATACACTAGCATTCCAGACGTATTTTCTAAAGGAACTAAATCTTTGTCTACGAGTTAATCCTTTCATTCTTCTTAATGTCGATGAGAAATTAAAGGAATAAAAGAGGAAACTTTGTGGGTTAGTGGTGTAAAACACAAAGTTTCTTTTAATCATTTCCTTTATAATTTTCTTTAGCAGAAAATTACATCGTTATTAGAAAAGATGTGTATCAACAATTATGCTTATTGGAACCTTTTTCCAATAATTATCGTTATTATTATTATTAATATACACCATAGAACAAGGGCTCCGTTGCCTTGCAGTCTAGCAGACTGCCTTAGACGGATTAAAGCCTTTCTGTCTCCTGAAGCTATCTACTACCCGCTCGTTTCACTCTTATGAGTATAGAAATAGACGTATTTTGCGTCTGGAACAAAAAGAACAGCTTAGTGGAAATTTTGTAATTCATTTGTTAAGCTGAAATAAATTAATTCTGAAACTATAATAATAGAAGTTTTATCTGGCAACGAAAAATCTTCCCGTTACGAAAACGCAGCTAGAGGCACTGTTAATCAAAATGGCGCCATTGGTCTAGGAGAAAGCGTACTTTGGTTTGGAACAAGCTAAAACGTCATCATTTGTCGTCGTTCAAAGACGTCGTACAACAGCACTAGTTTAAAATAGCCTTAAAATTTTACAATTAAAAACATCTCATCTTAAGCCAACATTTCAATTTTTTTTCACTCATTTAGACTCCCATTTTGAATTTCCGTTTGGAAGATGCATAAACATTACTTTTAAGTTTACAAATATTTTTATTAATTATCAATACTTTTGGGAAGCCGCGCAGAAATAAAATTTATGCTACTAAGCTGGGTTGAATGACAACACATTGCTGGTTTCCAGATGTTTGATACTTGAATTAGATCGCTGTTGTTCGAATTTTTGCATATACGTAAATAATTTTAGTGAAATTATGTTTAAAATTGCAGTATCTTTTGTATAATGTAACCTGAAAATGTGAAAAGTCGAATGTCGAACGAAAAAATAAGATTAAAGGGGCAAGTCTATTTAACATTGAGTAAATAGCTGTCTCGCTACATTGGGGACATATCGCCAAAGTGGCGATGGTTTTGGCGTATTAGTCGCCAAATTTCGTGAGAAATCGCAAAAAATCGCTAAACTTCGCGACCACTAGGTGACATTTTGGTCCGGTTTCAGCATATCTGTAATTGGTACTGTAAATGAATAACTGTAATTGATCCCTATATATAACTGTAAACGAATGTGGCCCTCATATGCCTTCTAGTAATTTTGAGAAGTAAAAGGTACTGGGGATTTGTCGGCAGCCGTGGAAAACTATAGAAGAGCAGGGAGTGTGTCAGTTTCTCAGTTGTTAGTTCGAAGCTTTTCGTAGTATTGAGATATCCTTGAGACCTTCTCCTTTCAGATGCGCTTGGCATTTCGTTGTGTTTAACGTTCACAGAAGATTGAAGTGTTACTACTGATTGTGCTTTGTGATACTGAGAAGAGCTGTACGAGTGCTTTTGCGGAAAGTCCAGAACTATAAAGAGTTTCTTTTGGTAAAATAAATTTTATCTAGCTGCCATGGTTCTGTATGCATTCAATCCTTTAAAAACCCGAAAGCATGCAGTAATTGCTTCGTTTCTATTCCCACATTAAGCACTTTATGTATAATTACATAATTATGCGTAATTAATATCCGCTACGAAACAATAAATGTAATTTTCAAATTTTCATAGGATTTCAGAAGATATCATCGCTTTTACCACATTTCAAGTGTAGAGGAAGAGAAATATTTTTATTATAAATTATATGGAATAATTATTTATTTAAAGTTTTAAATAAATCAAAGCTTCTTCAAAGAGATTTAATAATAGAATATAACGAAGATGCATGTACTTATCTTTCATTTCGTATTTGTTTCAGCATAATTCATATGTCAAGTACAATATTTATCGCATGAAATTGGCAAATGATTTACTTGAATTTTTCAAGTGAAATTTTAAACATTGTAAACCTCCATGTTTTATTTTAAAATTAAAAAGTGTTCTTAAAATACTTTGAATTACAAAAGTACAGAAGAACAGCTATGCTTTAAACTTAAAATGTACAAGCCGTTTCGTGTCTTTTCTTTAAGGGATTAATGTTGTTAAATAACATATGCAGAAGCAACAAATTATTGAAAAATTAATTTATTGAAAAAATAATGACTGTTTTTAGGTACAAATGAAGCTATACATAAATTATGTACAAATTGTACAAAAATCGTTTAGAACACATCATTGCTGCTAATGATGACCGTGATGCACAGGAATAGGAATGAAAATAGGATGCGATTGATGGTGATGTCCCTTATGGTGATGTTCCGATAACATCTTTGCAATAAGTCCAGCCACTAAAATTTGACCCAATCCGCCTCCTTGGTTACCGTGATGATGACCACATTGCACAATTCCGAAGGAAGATATCAGAGCCACAAGACACAAAGCGACGATTTTGCGGCTGGTGAACATTTTCTGTTCTGAAAAATAAAAATGAGCATAAGTATACGCATCTAGCATAAAATATATTACTGAAAGATTAAATTATATTTAAAAATGTGTATAGTATCTCCAAACTAACTGAACAATTGAGAGCATGGACTAAAGGTGAACAAATAGTTCTAATCACGAGGCAAAAAGGTCGTTTTAGTGCATCATTTGCACAGGGCTTTAGAAGGGTGCAATGGCGTTTACAGGACAATCTTTTGCGGTGCGCTTATGGCTTACCAGGACCTGATGGCATTCGGAAATTCCATGCCGATAGAAATTGAAACAAAAATTTGCAACTCAAAATAGCATTTTACGTACCTAATTTCATGTATTTTTTATTTTAAATGAGCTCCATATTGTGAACACAGGGTTACAACGGCCCTGTTGCAAGTCAATCAATGAAATATAAAAAATCGACTTAAATTTACATGTCTTCGTTTTTAAAACTAAGGGTGACATGTTTTTTCCCTAAGCTCTCTTTTCTTATCAGTTTTTATCCATACTTCATTATTTAGTGTCTAAAATAATGCTGTTATAAATTATATAATTATATCCTTCAGTGGATGCGCATTCCTTGTAACACATCCAATGCTCTAAGCTTAGGCTGACCTTTAATATAATCAGGCTTATACATGCGCATACACACTGGTTTGGTTTGATTTATTTAATTACTACAAAACAGGCGAGGGCTATCTGCCTGAAGGGAATGATGTCTTCGTGGGGTACCTTTTGAGAGAAACAGGCTCATGTGCACGTTACACATGAGGTAAACCACAAAAACGCTTATCTAGCACATCCAGCATGTTTGCTAGAATCCTCAGTGTTCAGCGACTTTACTGGTAGGCATCACCAATGGTAGGCTTTAGGAAATTTCTTTATGGAGTATCTTAATTAAAGCTACATGGGAATATTTCAATTACCAGATTTTGTGTGGTCTCACGATGTGCTGCACAATATGAAACTCAGTAAACTGTTAGATCCTAAACACACAGCTTTACAGATTGAAGTGCTATATAAATAGCACTATGCTACATGATATGCTTGGACATCATCATACATGTATACTGCTTGCACGTAATATGGCAATAGATTTGCTACGAGGACATGATATGCATAATACAAAAAATATCATAATAGAGGACATATTGTCATTATTTGTTGAAATTTTTCAAATATTCACAGGATTTTACATTATTTTTCTTATATATTTTTACTATTATTCAAACGAAAAAAATGAATTCTTATGCACAGCGTAGTTACATTTATGTCCTTTGTATGTTATCTTGTGTTAACTAACTAGTTATTATCAATTTAATCTTTACTATGTTTTCTGTTTTCCCTATAACTCCTCCTTTCTTTTCTACTATAACCCCTTTTTCACCAGAATGCAACTATAACCTCTTTCATTGAATGCAAATTAACTTTGATAGTATATAAGTCGAGAGTTTTGAATTTTTAGTAGAGTGAACTTTTGGCGATGCGGCTCTGTTAGTAATTTCTCCACTTTGTTTAAAATTGATATTCCGGCTTTAACAATCTTGCTAGCCGATGTTTTAAGTTGCGCGCAGTTAAAGTATTTTGATCCAGATTATTTTTTATTACTTGTGAATTTAGCAGTATTTGGTAAGTTTTCCAAAGTAAAAGGCTAATCCTAAAAGTATTAGCGTTTAGTTATTTCATTAGATATATCATACAAATAAGGGCTTTTCCCTCAAGAGTTTCCTATGAAAGAAGGAATATTCTTAATTATCTAGCGTAGGAAAGGGTAGTAAGAAAAAAAAATAGTACATTCGGGGTACCTAAAATTTAAAACATAACGGCATGCGTGTATGCAATTGGTAAAATATATTGAACTAAAAGGTATTCCATGTTAAAAATATTCGGAAAGACTTCTAGATAAGGACATGAAATAGTGAATGTGTCCTAAAATTACACATGAAATTTGTCACTTTATTGCAAAAATTCGGTATCTATCAAGCTATCTTAAAGATAATTGGGACTCAAAACTAAACAATGGTAGCATCAAAGAGTTTAAAAACATGCGTTCAGATAAGAAGGGTGTTAAAAATTATACGAAAATATCGGAACATGCAGAAAATAATAAAGGTTAGAAATGCCAATGAATTAATAATAAAGTAAAATAGTAGAATCAGTTATGGTAAGACTACTATAAAAAGATAAATTGTAGAACTGGCAAATTAAAATAGTACTATAAAATATAGACTAAATAAGGGTTATTCGACGAATTGGATATGAATAGTAGTTAAAGATCATAAAATAAAATGCTTAATTGAAAAATATCTCGGTTCTATGTATGTTGAAGAAGTTTAAACATGTAAATTTAATTGAATTGGCAAAATAAATATGTATTATAAACAGAAAATATGTTAAGTGCGTAGAAATTAAGGGTACAAGGGAAACAAACATGTTAGAAATTACATCTAAAATTTAATACAATTCATGCAAATAATGTGAAAATAAAATAAACCTTAGAGTACGTTGAAAATTGCGAAGGTTAAAATATATGAAATAAGTTCATATTTATATTTGAATTCAATAAAGACTCTGTATATGATCAGAAAATATAGGAATTAAGTTAAAATTAGGAGTATGTTACTAATTGCGAAGGTTAACGTGTGTGAAACAAGTTCAAAATGGTAGTACTTTCAAAATTATGAAGAGTCAAAATGTACGAAACAAGTTAGAAATAATATCTAAAATTAAATAAAGCTCATATATATGGTTAGAAAATAGAGGAATTAAGCTGAAATTAAGAATACATTTGAAAATTAAGAAGGTTAAAACGTATGAAAATTAGTTTAAAATTAAATGAAAGGTCCTGTACATAGTGTGAAAATATAGCAAATTAGTTAAAATTCCGAGAATGTTGGAATCTAAAAACGCTAAAAAATAGAAAAGAAGCTAAAATTTACATCTAACATTGAATAATATAATAAACAAAAACGCGTGATTTAGGAATTGCACTCGTAAAATCTAACAAATAAGTTAAGAGTATTGATTAACAAGTATGAAAAAACTTCTGGGTAAAATCAATTTAGTAATAAAAATGAGTCATGTTATTAAGATTATGTAAAGTAAATGTGGTACTATGAACAGAAGATTTAAGAAATAAAGCCTTTTACGTATAGTATGAGTGTATAGGAAATTATAAGGTTTAAAATGTATGAAACACGTTTAAAATATCATCTAAGCTTAAATAAAGTTCACATATATGGTCAGAAAATCGAGGAATTAAGCTAAACTTAAGAGCCTGTTTGAAAATTACGAAGGTTAAAACGTATGAAATTAGTTAGAAACGTGTGAAATTTAGTTAAAAAACTAAATGAAAGTCATGAACATAGTGTGAAAATATAGCAAATTAGTTACCATTCAGAGTATGTTGGAAACTAAAAACGTTAAAAAGTAGAAAAGAATTTAAATTTACATCTAAAATTAAACAAAAGTCAGGTATATTATCTGAAAATACAGGAATTGTGTTAAAATTAAGACTATATTGAAAATTATGAAGGTTTGAAATGTACGAAACTAGTTGAAAATAGCATCTAAAATTAACTCCTGAATCAATCCTTAAATTCGAAAAAAAGGGCCGTTAAGGAAATAAGCATTGTATACGTCCTAAAATAGCTGGAACACCAAGAAAAAATACAAAGGCTAAACGTCGATTAACAAAAACCTTTGGAAAATCAAAGTTATCTCTTATCAAAGTGTGACGTCATCTTATCAGTTAAATCATGAATCCCGAAACACTCCCTCTTATCTGCTGCGCCTCCGCGTGCGGCCTTGCTCAGCGCTCCGCCTGCGTAATCTGCCTGCGAGATTGCACCGCGCACCGCCTCCTGTTGCTGAACCCCCCGTTTCCTACTACTGGCGGGGACTTGAGGTTCGAGAGAGGTACCTCCGAATTCGGAAAATTCAAGGGAAGCCATTTCGAACATTCTCATCTTTGTATGACTTTAATTAGCCGAGATATTAATTAAAAACTCGGAACGAGGCTAATTTCGTACTAATTTTTCGGAGTGGCGACAATCTCGCAAGCTGGAGACGAAAATCTACTTTATTTCGAAAAGTGTTGCCACTGCTCGCTTATAAATCGAAAACTTTCTAAGTTTTACAAAATTTGAAATAAAAGTAGCATTGCCAAACATTAAATATATTATTCCCGATTTCAAAAATTCATGGAAACCCATTTCGACAATTATCATCTTCGAATAGTAATTAAAAACACCGAAAAACACTAATTTCCGCACTCAGTTTTCCTATTGGCAACAGTCTTGCGCGCTGGAGATAAAAATATAGTTTATGTCGAAAAGTGTTGCCACTACTCGCTTTCAAATCGCATACTTTGTTAATAAAAAATTTCTAAGTTTTACAAAATATCAAATGAAAACAGCATTTTCAAAACTTAATGATGTTATTATTATTATTATACAAGGTCATATTCCGACGTTGAAGAAAGCACGCGATTTCATGTGACGTCATTCTATGACGAAAATGTTTCATTAATTTCAACTTTTAAAGTAATTTGTTGCTGTTAGCAACTTTTTTGTTTCAGGTTAGTATAACTGACACGATATATTAATGCCACGTTAATTCTTTTATTGATACTGAGAAAATGTTGTTATATTACATTAAATTTAAATTATTACGTCATACGTATTAACTTAAAGTGTCAACATTTTTATTTCCTGGTTTGGCAATAAAAGAATTATTGACGAATTATTTGTTATTGAGAAAGAATGAACCGATTTAATTCGCACGGAAATGTTTCTGTACGTTTGTTTTTCAGGGGTACATAGAATTTATAAATTTTGCTTTGGTTGCAGTCAAACCCTTAGTCATATTTTAATTTCCGACGATAAAGAATGTAATATCATAAAATGAACAGCAAATAAGACATCTTACATTGCTAGAAATAATAACTTCATCTTTGGCTACTTCCTTCTTGTTTTCGTTAGAATGTAATCCTAGC